ATGTCTAATTGGGGTTTTATATCCTTCCTTCCTTCCTTTTCTTTCTTCTTCTTTTTTTTTTTGTGATATGGGAGTCCCCTCTGTGTGCTGTGATTACCATTAATGAATAAAGAAACTGCTTTGGATCTATAGCAAGGCAGAACTTAGGTAGGCAGGGAAAGCTAGGCAAAATGCTAGGAGAAAGGAGGCAGAGTCAGAGAGAAGCCATGGAGCCACAGCTGGAGATAGATGTGCTAAAACTTTGCTGGTAGGCCATCACCTTGTGATGATACACAGATCAATAGAAATGGGTTAAATTAATATGTAAGAGTTAGCCATTAAGAAGGTAGAGCTAATGGGCCAAGCAGTGATTTAATTAATACAGTTTCTGTGTGATTATTTTGGGTCTAAGCTAGCCAGGAGGCCAGGACAAACAAGCAACTCTCTCCTACTTTTTTTGTTTATTTGTTTTTCAAGACAGAATTTCTCTGTATAGCTTTGGAGCCTGTCCTGGAACTCAACTTGGTAGACCCGACTGTCCTCAAACTCACTGAGATCCGCCTGTGTTTGTATCCTAAGTGCTGGGATTAAAGGCATATGCCACTACCGCCAGTCCTCCCATTTTTTTAAAAAAATCTTTTGATTTATTTGCATTGGTGTTTTGCCTACATGTATGTGTTTGGGTGTCAGAGATCTTGGAGTTACAGACAGTTGTTTGTTAGCTGCTATGTGGGTGCTGAGAATCGAAACCAGGTTCTCTGGAAGACCAGTCAGTGCTCCTAACCACTGAGCAATTTCTCCAACCCCATTGTATCTCTTATTATTATATCTCTTCTGATTATAGTTTAGATTTCTTTCATATATGCATATATTTTAAGGAGCTTTTATTGAATTAGGCTTTCATATGTGCCTTCAAATTGCCCTTAGTTTTTGCTGTCCCTCCCCACAACTCCTCTTCCCATCTTCCCCCTCTCCGCATTTGAACTTCCTTATTTCAACCCCTTCCCTCCCAATAACTAGTGTGTTTCAGCTTCCTGGTGAGGCCCTTTCCTCTCTTAGTCCCTTATTTTTTATATATATATATAAAATCTATGTGGTTATACAGATTGCAGCTTGCTTATCAAAGACTTAATCAGTAACATAAGTGAATACATACTATATTTGTCCTTTTGGCATAAGTTACCTCACTCAGGATGGCTTTTTTTTCTAGCTCCAGCTATTTACCTGTGAATTTCATGGTTTTTTTAGCAGCTGAGTAATATTTCATTGTATAAATGAACCACATTTTCTTTTTCCATTCATCCATTGACAAGTAAATCATTTCTACTTCCTGAATATTATGAATAGAGCAGCAATGAACATGGTTGAACAAGTGTCTGTGTCGTGTGAGGTAGGGTCCTTTGAGCCTTAGTATTGTCTCTATTAGGGTTATTGTTGATGTGATGAGACTCTGTGACCAATGCAACTTTTATAAAAGAAAGCATTTAATTGGGGGTTGCTTACCCAGGTTTCAGAGGTTTAGTCCATTATCATCATGGCAGGGAGTATGACAGCCAGGTAGGCATGGTGCTAGAGGAGTAACTGAGAACTACATTCTGTTCCAGAAGCAACTCATCGGGGATGAGGGGGCAGTAAAGGGACAGGGAGGGAAAGACATAGTAACAGAGAGAAACAGATATACTCTGGACCTCGTGTGGGCTTTTGAAACCTCAAAGGACTCCTCTAGTGACACCTTCTCCAATGAGGACACACCTACTCCAGCAAGACCATACCCCTAATCTTTCCCTGACAACATATGAACTGGGGACTAAACATGCAAATAATTGGGGCAGTCTTATTTAATCCACCACAAGTAGCTTAGCCTGAAGTAGATCTATTCCCAGCTTCCTGAGGAACCACCAAATTGTTTTCAATAGTGGCTATTCAAGTTTGCAGTCTCTCAAGCAATGGATGAATGCTCCCCTTACCCCACATCCTTGCCAGCTGAGCTGTTTCTTTTTTTATTTTTCTTGACCATTTTTGCTGTTGAAATCTCAAAGTAATTTTGATTTGCATTTATTTCCCTGAAAGACTAAGAACAGTGGCCATTTCTTTAAGTTTTTCTTAGCTGTTTGAGTTTCCTCTGTTGAGAATTCTCTGTTTGGATCTGTATCCCACTTTTAAATTGAGTTATTTGTTTTCTTGATGTGCAGTTTTCCGAGTTCTGTATATATTTTAGATATTAGCCATCTATTTGATGTGTTGTTGGAAAAAATCTCCTATTTTGTAGCCTGCATCTTTGTCCAAATGATGGTGTCCTTTGCCATGCAGAAGCTTTTCAGTTTCATAAGGTCTCATTTAATTGTTTTTATTGCCTGTGGTGTCACTGTTTCTTTCAGAAAGTCTTTTTCTTCACCAGTGAGTTTAAGACTATTCCCCATATTCTCTTCTATCATATTCAGTCTATCTGGCCTTATATTAAAGTCCTTGATCTATTTGGAGTTGAGTTTTATGCAGGGTGATAAAAGTGGATCTGTTTACATTCTTCTTCATGCAGCTATCCAGTTTGACTAGCAGCATTTGTTGAAGATGCTTTCTTTTTTCAGTACATATTTCTGGTTTTTAAAAAGTAATAAATTAGGTATCCATAGATGTGAGGACTAATTTCTGGGTCTTCAGTTTGATTCCATTGATTAGCCTGTCTGTTTTTCTGCCAATACCATACTGTTTTTTTTATTATTATAGCTCTGTAGTATATAGCTGGGAGTTAGGGGTGGTGATGCCTCCAGCAGTTCTTTTATTGTTCAGTATTGTTTGGGCTATTTTTATTTATTTGTGTGTGTGTTTCCATAAGAAGCTGAAAATTGTTCTTTAAATTTCTCTGAAGAATTGTATTAGGGTTTTGATGGGGATTGCATTGAATATCTAGAGTGCCAGTGGTAGGATCTAACTCCAAACTTTAAACTATTTAATTGGAAAGGTTTTAAAGTTAGTTGTCCCTTATGATATATATTTGTGTGGTTTAAGTATTGAATTCTTACACTAAGCAAATAATTAAATATTTGAGTTCAATTTAGAAATCAGAACTGCCAGTATTAATCCAGGCTCTGCCCAGGAGGAGGTGGCTCACAACTTTTAATTTTTTGTTATTATTTCTCATTTTATGAGTATGGGTGTTTTACTTTCATGTATGTCTGTGTCCTGTTACATATCTGTGCCTACAAGAGGCCAAAAGAGCACGTTGGATCCCCTCGAACTGGAGTTACAGATTGTTGTAAGCTGTCATGTATGTGATAGGAATCAAACCCAGATCCTCTGGAAGAGCCTAATGCTCAAGTCATGCTATTTTTATAAAGCATTTAGTACAGATTAAGTCTTCTTTATCCAAAATGCTTGGGACCAGTCATATTTTGTACTTGTAAAATATTTTTATTTTAAATTTTGGCATGTCAGCATATACATAATGCGATATTTAGGGCTAAAGTCTAAATATAAACTTCATCTGAGTATACCCACATCTAGAGTTGCATGTATCTCAAACAAGCTAGTTTCTGAAGCAGCATTGAATGGTGTGACATCACAGTGTTGCTTGCATTTGTTCTGACCAAGTATCTGACAAGAGACAACATAGCGGCCGTTTTAGAATTTGAGGGGCGCATCCCATCCTTGTGTGGAAGACCTGGTTGCTGATGGTAAGACAGCTAGTTACACTGTCAGCCATCAGGAATGAGGAGCGAAGCATGCTAGGGCTAACCCAGCTTCCTTTCTCCTTTTTATTCCATCTTCGACCCCAGCCCACAGAATGGTGTCATCCACAATTGAAAGTTGGGTTTTAGCCGTGGTTACCAGTATGGAGGATGCAGTCACTAGAGCTTGCTTGCATGCCATTAGTAGATGGCTTCAGTCAGAGAACATTTTCGTAATGGTCATTGGGGACTTCATAAACTGGTCAAAGTACCAAGACTCTTGAGTACCCAGCCACAAATGGGACAATTTGTCACTCCTTCCAACGTTCATGGAACATTGTATAAGGGGGGAGGAAAGAATGAAAGTGCTGGAGGAAACAGGAGAGGCATAAGGACTTGAGTGTACATTCTAGGTAGCATGTGCTTGCTGTGCTCACTTTACAGCTGCTTTGATTACATGCACAAGATTGGGCTTCTCAACACTGTTGGAGAGGGAGGGGTTCATGATGTACCAGTCCTTCTTGAGGAGTTTACACAGTTCATGGTTGTGGGAGAGAGATGTTTCCTACAGTGGTATAACTCACGCTTCTGTAAACAACCCCCTTCAAGTCCCTGATGGCTGCAGCTTTCACTCTTCCTGCATCACCTGTTGCAGAGCTCAACAGAAAGTCGCTGGTTCCGTCCATTAGGTCCAACGCCTCAGAGGAGGGTAGAGATGGAGCCGAATGGTCGTAGCTTAACAGTTAGCTTTTAAATAGCTGCTCCTTACTAGCTAACCATATTGATTTTCTGTGTACAATAAGCGAAGACTTGTGCAGTCAGGTTTATGTCAAAATCCTCATTTCTTTCACATGTTCCTAAACATCACATCTTATATAGATTTCTGTGTCAGTTATCTGTCATCATTTATTGAAATTTAATGTCATTTAAAGTTGCCAAGTGGTGATTGATTTAGGGGTTTTGAGACAAGTTTTTCTCTTTGTCGTTCAGGCTGACTTTGGGCTTGTTTCAGTTTTCCTGCTCAGCCTTTCTGGTGCAAGGATTACAACCTTGACCATCACACCTGTCCTGCTGTTCAGTTTTTAAATGTTTAGCCTTTCCCTTGTATTTGTGTCTTTGCTAATGCATCAAATGGTTGTGGGGTTGGAAACTTCTGCTGTCATATCAGGAAATAATCAAATACTACCATATGCCTTGACTTTTTGGAAAGTTGCCCCATTTTGAAATGTTTTTGTATGCACTGGAATATTCTTTAGAATTATGTTATTGTTATATCAAAGGGATGCTTCACATTCTCTTTGTTGTCAAGATACTTAAAAATATTCCTTAGAAAATCAGTTTCTTCTTAATCAACAGGTGCTTCTAAAGAAGGAGGGGCTGGAGCGGTTGATGAGGATGACTTTATCAAAGCTTTTACAGATGTTCCTTCTGTTCAGGTAAGGCTTTTGGTGTCCCCATGAGATTTCTCTGCCTTTTTATGTCCTGTCTTTTGTTCCTTTAAAAAAATTGTTGGGTATACAGCTAGATGACTCAGGGGTCAAGTGCTTTGCCAATACAAACTTGAAGACCTGAGTTTGACTCTGAATCCCGCATAAACGTGGACGGAGAAAACCAATTCCACAGTTGTCTTCTGACTCTCCACATGCCCACATACACACATCATCCACAATAAGCAGAGGAAAGTTTAAATGCTTAAAAAAGTTTTCCTTAAATGAAAGTATGGATGACATATTAGACATTATCAAGCTATTAATTTTTTTTTTTTTTGAGGCAGGGTTTCTCTGTAGTTTTAAAGCCTGTCCTGGAACTAGCTCTTGTAGACCAGGCTGGCCTTGAACTCACAGAGATCCACCTGCCTCTGCCTCCTGAGTGCTAGGATTAAAGGCATGTACCACCACCATCCAGCAATTATTTTTATAATTAAATTTTCAAATTATTTTTCTGTAAATCTTAAATAAAATCAAATCCATGACTTAGTGATATTACATTGCTGTGTCAGACTTACAGTTCATATTTTTGAAATAATTAGTTTTGACCCCAGAGAGTGCTGGAAGCTGACAAATAGAGATCTGAAAGTCCTTGCCCCAGGAGTCAAGAGTCAAAAAAGTCAAAGTGGAATATGCACAAGTAAGGCAGTCATTTTGTATCTAATAAGCAAGTAATCACTACAGTGTATATAACATTCCTACAAATTACATAACCTTGTACCCCAGTATTGTTTGGTGTATTTTTTCACAACTCAAAGTTTGTAATTCTGTTTCTTCAGATAGTTATTGTGTGAATAGAGTTCTTGTGTCCTTTCTGTTGATGACTTTCAGTTTGTTTCCAGTTTTTTGATGTTACTTATTTGTAAGATGTTTTTGTTTGCATGCTTTTTAAAACAGGGTCTCATGTAGTCCAGTCTGATCTTTAATTCCTGATCCTTCTTCCTCTAACTCCCAAGCATACTAGGATTGCAGGTACCACCATACTCTGCTCTTGCAAGACTTTCTTTCTAGTGTGGTTTATATGAGATTGCATAGCTACCTGTGTCGCTATATTCTGCTGTAAAGGATTATCATTCCACTTCTAAGAATCCTCCACTGTAGGAAGATGCTTCTCCTGTATAAGAAAATGTTTTGTATTTTCTTCTACTGTTCTGAGTGTGTGTGTGTGTGTGTGTGTGTGTGTGTGTGTGTGAGAGAGAGAGAGAGAGAGAGAGAGAGAGAGAGAGAGAGAATGCTTATTTCTTCACTTTCTGTCTGCACTTCCTGTCACTTTGAACCATGGCTGTCCCTGCTCAGTGTTGTCTTGAAGGTCTGGTTGCTGTATTTGCATACTGCTTCACAAGGTGTGAGCTATTCAGCTCTCTCAAAGGAAAAGCTGTCCTTAATCCATGTAAGGACTTAAGTTATAGGAATACTTTAAAAATGTTTTTGATTTGAAAGTATTTGAAATATTTTTATTTTAAGATGCTTCCTCCCTCTTGTGTATTTTGTAGGACTTTCGTAAAAAGGAATGGTTAGTGTTCTAGCAATAGTTGTGGAGCTTGGCTGGCCTTGATCATTGTTCATTGTTCAGTATGCTCTGCCAGAGCGGGGTCATTACAGCATCACTGAAGCCACGGGCTGCCCAACTTTAGGACGGAGAGCAGGCTTCCCGACTACCCATTGCATCACCATCCCTGCCCCTAGAGAGTCTGTCTCTTCAATGCCCATGCTATTATTAAAGTAGAATTTTCCTTTCGTTAAAGTCCTCACATAATTGGTGGTGATTGCTGTCGTCGTCCTCCTGCACTGCTATGAGGTCCCTGCTGCTGGCCAAATCCTTACTCTGGTCATGTCTGGACAGCAGTACACTATTACCTATGGATCAACTGTACTGACTGTGTGATCATTTTAAATTAAGAATTGCTAGTGTGTAATCAGAGATTAAATATGGCAGTGCCATCAAGTGCATGGTAAACACATGCTAGCTATTATACCACCCTAAATGCTGTTATATTCCTTCCTTCCTTCCTCCCTTCCTTCCGTCCTTCCTTCCTTCCTTCCTCCCTCCCTCCCTCCCTCCTTCCTTCCTTCCTCCTTCCTTCCTTCCTTCCTTCTTCCTCTCTCTCTTCTTTTCTTCCTTCTTTCTTTTTTCTTCTTTCCTTGTTTTGTTCAGTCTTCCCTCCATCCTCTCTTTTGTCAGCTAACTTTAGGCTAGCACACAAAGCAATAGATTTCGTTACCATGTTTCCATACACACGTGCTGTTATACTTTGTTCCCAATGTTTCCCTCCCCCATTTCCCTTCCTCCGGCTGCATCTGGTTGGTCCCCAGTAGACCCTGTTTTAGTGTTCTCCTGCTGTGAAGAGACACCATGACTATGAGATTCTTACAAAGGACGGCATTTAATTAGGGTTGGCTTACAGTTTCAGAGGTTTAGTTCATTGTCAGAGCACAGCAGCACACAGGCAACTGGAGAAGTTGAGAGTTCTACAGCCAGATCCAAGAGCAGAAGGAAGAGAGGCACAGGGTCTGGTTAGAGCTTTTGAAACCTCAAAGTCCACACCCAGTGACAGGTTTTCTTCAACAAGGCCACACCTCCTCATACCTCTCAAGTGGAGCCACTCCCTAGTGACTGAGCAGTCAAACCTGTGAGCCTATGGGAGGGGACATTTCTATTAAAACCTCTACAGTCCCCATTTCTGACTTCTTATCATATGTATTCCATTGCTCTCTCTTTCCCCCTCCCTTAAGATTTCTCCCTCCTCTCCTGATTCTTGTTGTTCGGAATCAGGGTCTCACTACAGAGCCTAGGCTGGTCACAGACATTCATCAGTACTCCAACTTGGGTTCCATGAGGACTGGATTACAGGCAGGCACCACAACCCCTGGTTTAGATATTCTGCTTCCATTTTGTTTGTTGCCGTTCGTACTATGAATGTTGGTAGAATAAAAATGGAGTTGCTTATGTTAAACTCCAATAAAATGTAAAAACATAGGGAGAGTTTCGAGGCCTCCACCTGGCTACACACACTGTAGGGAATCAAGGACCCTCCTGGCTTTGGCTGTTTTTCCAAGCATTGTTAGAAAATTCCAGCTATGAAAACAACATGGTCTATACAACGAGAGACATATAATTGTATTTAATAAACAAGAAAAGAAGAATCCAGAAGCACTGAGCTCCCTGAAACCCCAGACCTTGCTTTCTAATCTCATTCCCCAGTAAAAGCAGCCAGGACTCCTTGGACTAACGGTGACACAGAGCAGAGGCAGGAAATAGCACAAAAGAATCCATCTGTTAGGACCAGAAGACAAGACTGGACTCATACCCAAGCCTGGGGGCCTCTCAGTGAAGGTCACAGAAGCCAAGTGAAAGGAACATTCAAGGCTGAAGGTGGAGAAACTTGAACAGCAAAATAACACAGTATTGCATTTTAACCCGACAATGCAATGGATATCCACAAACCCACCCTGGTGTAGCTGCGCATGAATGCACAGTAGGTCAGCTGTGACTGGACAGGTCCCCTTGCCGAAGAATCGGATAGTTTAGGTAGATTCTCTGTGTTCAAGAGGAGAAGGGTAGCTTAGTGCTTCTGGGTATTGGTGCATTTGGGAGCCTCCTTCTGAGGCCCAGAGACAGCGAGGAGGCTTCAGCAGGTGTCTGGCACATGCCCCAGATATGATGCAATAAACTGAACTTTCCCTGTGTGACTACAACCAGTAACAACCCTGCTTCTGGGATGGAGAAGGGCAGATAAACTTCACTATGGGACTACCTGAAGCATCTGAGAAGCACTTCTCAGAATTGCCAAAGTCAGGGGCTAGAGATGAAGCTGGACTGTAGAGCTCTTGACTAGCATGGAGGCAGGGGGTGGGGCTTAATCCCCAGGACCATCAAACCAGCCAGCCCTGGTTGAGTGACTCACTTCGGTGATCCCAGCACCCAGGAAGTAGAGGCAGGAGCTGTGCATTCAAGGCCAGTTGGTGCTGCGTTGTAAGTTCAAGATTGAAGATTGAAAGTGTGTTTCATAAAACCTACTGACCAACCAACCAAACTGATTAAAATAAAAACTGTCAGCCTTTAATCCCAGCTCTTGGGAGGCAGAGACAGGTGAATCTCTGTGAGTTCAAGGACAGCCTGGTTGAGAGAGAGAGAGAAAGAGAGAGAGAGAGAGAGAGAGAGAGAGAGAG